AGGTCGCAATGTTCCCGTAAATTTGATATTGGACCAGGATCTCCATGGCCATGATCCGTGGGAGTTGCCGGGTATGAATCTTCCAATACTTTTTCTTTACTCTTTTTGTTTTTCCAGCCTTGAAAGAGGGGTTATGGAATTCATATGACTGAAAAATCTCCTATGCATCTGGCCAGTAGGCCTAGAGTTTTTTTCAGTTGGTATAATGGAACAAATGTAATGGTTAGAGTTGTTTTATAACAATTGGAAAGATAAGTTAGAGTTGTTTTATAATAATGCTTCAGACATATAATAATGCTTCAGACATCTGCAAAAAGTCATGCACAATATTGCTTGTCTATTGATTTCTTCATTTTAAAACAAACTACATCTTCTTTTTGCTTGTCTATTGATTTCTTCATTTTAAAACAAACTACAACTTCTTCGTTTTTTTTGCTGGTTATCCATGGAATCAATTAATGAGAAAAACAGGTTACAAAGATCAGGTTGAAACACTTTCCTTATTTAGGTCATTCATTTTATATATCGAATAGAGAAAGATAAAACAGATTCTACAATACTTTGTTTTTCCTTAATTAGGTCATTCATTTTATATATCGAATAGAGAAAGATAAAACAGATTCTACAATACTTTTTTTCATTTTATATATCGAATAGAGAAAGATAAAACAGATTCTACAATACTTTTTTTCATTTTATATATCGAATAGAGAAAGATAAAACAGATTCTACAATACTTTTTGTCTAGATATGTAAGGGTCAGTTAGTGAGAAAAACATGTTTAGAAAGGTGAGGAGGATGAAATACTTTTCTTGTTTTGAAAAACATGGTGAGGAGGATGAAATACTTTTCTTTGAAAAACATGTTTAGAAAGGTGAGGAGGATGAAATACTTTTCTTGTTTTGAAAAACATGTTTAGAAAGGTGAGGAGGATGAAATACTTTTCTTTGAAAAACATGTTTAGAAAGGTGAGGAGGATGAAATTCTTTTCTTGTTTAGAAAGGTGAGGAGGATGAAATACCTTTCTTATTTTGAAATTCTGCAACTCCTGCAACTCCAAAACTCCAAAACAAGCATAAGGAAGTCAATATGGGGAAACTAGAACCACCTCCTAGTGGGATGCCATCTTATGTTGTTAGGGTTCAAAGTAGTGAGAGAGAAGGCTACAAATCTAGTATTTTGGTGAACCACAGAGAGTCTATTCCTGATTAGTAGTGGTAACCATTATTAGAATGTAAGTAAGCATGCTTGTAGGAAAGAAAGTAGCCGAAGCGCGTCATCGGTGGGGAAAATGAGCATGCTTGTAGGAAAGAAAGAAGCCGAAGCCAGTCATCGGTGGGGAAAATGATCAGTCTGTAAGTACAAACCTACCTATTAGTGTGTGTTCATTTATTGTGAGCTTAGGAACTTTATGACTTAGTTTTAACACTGAGTAACGGCCACTCAATTTCAAAGATTTTTCCCGATAAATTCCAGAAATGTTTTGGTAATTGCATAAATTTATTTAGAAAATCTTGAATAAATGATAGATGTCAAAGAAGACCAAAAGTAGGACAATATCAGAATCATAGCCAAAATAGGTAAATTCCAGAAATGTTTTGGTAATTGCATAAATTTATTTAGAATCATAGCCAAAATAGTTCTATCAGTTGACAGAAGGAGTTCCTTAGTATCAATTATAAAATAGGTCTATCAGTTGACAGAAGGAGTTCCTTAGTATCAATTATAATGATACTATCTATCAGTTGGGTATCATATTTTTCCATCATGCAAGAAATATAATGTACTCTTTGTGTTGCACAAACTCATTCTACAGGGAGGAAATGAGGTGGCACATCCAGTCTCATTGTTTCTTGTTCCTGAATCTCATTGTACTAACCAATTTCACTAGCTCTTCATTCTTCAGTCCCAAGTCCCAAGTGGCTAGTGACTTTACTGGCTCATCTTTTATTGATCGACGTGGATGGTAGACCTATGTTGATATGATGTCTTATCAGTCCCAAGTGGCTAGTGACTTTACTGGCTCATCTTTTATTGATCAACGTCAATGGTAGACTTATCACAGTCTCATTTTCACCAGTTTTTGTGTCTTTCACCACTGTAGCCTATCTTAGCATTCTAGTGTCATTATTGTTTTCCTTTCACATGAAAATTTTAGATGTCTACCCAAAAAAATGCACTTAAAAATCGGATAGCGCTAGAGTAATATGCCTGATTTATGGCTTGCTTCCTAATTTTTTAGTTTTGAATATGGAAGTTAGGGACCTGTAATTTGCTTTCTCAACTCCTGTTGAATATCCTCTGCAGCTCTAATTTTTTAGTTTTGAATAAGGAAGTTAGGGACCTATAATTTGCTTTCTCAACTCCTGTTGAATATCCTGTGCAGCTCCCAGATACATATCTTTTTAACTATTGATTTATCAAAGCACATTTGACCACATAACAAAAGCAGATAGCTACTTCATTCAATGGAGATGGCATTGCAGCCTATGAAAACCCTCATCTTCAATGAACCATGAAATCCAACCAGGAAATTGGGATATCAAGGATAAAAACCGTCTCAATTTGAAAATTCATTGATTAAAAATACTATTGATTTATCAAAGCACATTTGACCACATAACAAAACCAGATAGCTACTTCATTCAATGGAGATGGCATTGCAGGTTATGAAAACCCTCATCTTCAATGAACCATGAAATCCAACCAGGAAATTGGGATATCAAGGATAAAAACCATCTCAATTTGAAAATTCATTGATTAAAAATACTATTGATTTATCAAAGCACATTTGACCACATAACAAAACCGGATTCATTGATTAAAAATAATACTGTTAGGAGTTATTAGGACTTGTACTTCTATTTGTAGGTCAGTGAATGACCAAAATCTACAGGATATTCATGACATGATTCATTTGCTTGATTAAGGAATAAGAAATATGGATATTCAGTAGAATTCTAAAGTATCGATGTGTCCTAATCTAGAGTCAATAAGTAGAATTCTAAAATATCGATGTGTCCTAATCTAGCCTTTGTCCATTAAAACAGCTGATCTAAATTATTTGACATTCATTGTTCTCTTACCCTATCGATTCTCAGATTTACTTGATGAATGTTTACCATTTTGCACTAGCCTCCTTTTTTTATATCTAGTTACTATAATTCCTACTTTGTGAAAACAAAATGTATGCCTAAACCTCATAAGTCCTTACCGACCTAGCTGAGAGCACTAACCTACCTAATGGAGATGCTGGAAATAGCACTAGAGGGCCTAGACTGGCACCCCATTTTGTATTGTTTAGTGTACAACATACTTGTATGGCTTGTGAACTTCGCCTTGCTCATCACCATCAAGTCACAATGGTGACATAAATTAGGAAGATTCTAGAAAAGATTATAAGCCTTAACTAATTATGGTTCAATATCAAAGATTTTCTATTAATTATGGCATTTGCTACTCCAAATTTACACTATCATGACACAAACATAGTATTCGAAATTCATTGTTTGGTAATGCCACAGTATAAGGAGTGGTTAAATAATGACCTATAATGTCTTCCTTATTTTTTGCATGTTACAAAAAAAGCTAGGAATTTCTTCGAATGTGTGAAAAAGGTATATTGGATCATGAAACCTCTTTTGTTGTCCACACATGACCTTCCCTACAAACAAGAAATATGATGGAACGTGAATTATCCTTTCACTGTGAGCAAAATGCAACGGTGGAAATCAAGATATGTCATCTACACAAGCTTTGTCGAATGCGGAATCATGCAATGGATTTGACAAACAGTTGTATGAATTCTTCCCTCGTGCCTTAATGGTGCAAAAGAAACCTCTTTATTTCATAGTTTACTGTATAACAGTTAATTTTAATTTTATCCTGTCAAAGTTTTGAAAACCATGCAATTTGTTATAAAGGCAATGGCAGTTGCCCACCACAGCAAATATGTCAAATTGAAGGCGGTAATTGAAAACATAATCCTATAATAATGATCATAGTGGTAAGAACTCTAGCGATTATAAAGTGTCGTAATATTTCTCAAAACTTGGTTTTCATGTATGTATGTGTGTACATATGATGTTTGTGGATTATAGAACAACGTAAAGATTTATACTTGCCTATATGTATTTACATATATTTTGAATTATTCTTTGTTGTTCTGCACTTAGATTGTATACAAATATATGTATGTATGCATGTATTTGTGTTTCTATCTAGTTTTGAATGCCAAAGTAGAGCTTAATCTCAAAATGTACCTTATCCATTGAAACATTTTGAGCTTTCTTGGATGGAACTCGAGAAAAATTAGCCAAAGTAACCCTATCTTAACTTAAAATATGGTTTGTATATTTATATAAACAACTGTTACATTTAATCATTCCATGTGAAATACAATATAAGATTAACGGTAATTGGTAGTTGTGGGACAATGATATAATTTAATTGAGTTTGAGTAAGTATGGTATGAGACAAAATACATATTTCTTTAAATTTCTTTTCCTTGTCCAATTTTAAATTCAGCATAGCTTATATTCATCTATTCTTTTGGTGATGGAATAACATCCGGAGTCCTATTTCAATGTAGAAGCATAATTTCTATATTGATATTATCTTCCTTTTAAGCTTTTGGTAATGGAGTAAGTTTTACGTGAAAATGAAAAAAACATCATGATTCCTATTGTCATGTAGAAGGGAACTTGGAGACCACCGATTACAGAATAAAAAATATTTGTCTCCCAAACTAAGCCCTTGTTATTATGCTGTTTCTCTTATTTTGGAAATATAATAGATAACACTTATCAAAAGAGAGTAAATAAATTTAATAATATCTTACCTTTTTGTCGGTTTATACTTTTAATTGTTCAACATAATTTCTCTCATTTCTAATTTTTTTCTTCAACCATCTATAGTGTTGGATTTGACGACTTTCCGGAAAGATGAATGGTTCTTCTTTACGAGAACCACGAGGCTTCCGAACCCGTGTGCCACAAGAACGGGTGAATGGAAAAGTGAATTGGGGAAAATAAATATATATGACCATGAAGGGAAACACATTGGCGATAAATACACTCTGATACACTACCAAAACATTGAAGGACAGGGATTGCAAATGACTAAATGGTTTCTAGATGAATTACATCTGCGGCAATCCCCTAGTCAAGAAGAGGAAGAGAGCAGTAGTGTGACAGATGGAAATGAAAATGCCCCAAGGCCTAATCTCCTTACCCCTGTGGTGAGAATGCTTTCTTTCTATCTATGTTTCTCCATATTTTAATCTGCCTCACTCTATCTCTCTCTCATCATGTGTTACGTCTCCCTAGTATGGTCCTTGAAAGAGAAAATGGCGGACGAGAATTTATTTAGTCGACACCAAATAATTGAGAAAGGGCTCTAATGATGATGATTCTCTCCTCTCTCTTTCTCTCTTGCTGTTCCTCTCTACTCTCTCATTTTCTCTTCTCTTTCTCACCTATCTATGATTTCTCTTTGGTGCAATAGCAAGTTGTTTGCAGAATTTACAAAGATGAAGACTGGGGGATACATGATGAATCCGGGGAAGATGATGAATCCGGGGAAGATGATGAATCCGGTGAAGACGATGAATCTGAATCTGGGAATGAATATGAAAGTGAAGACAGTTCGGATGGGGCGAATTCATGTTCTGGCTCAGTAGTAATTAATGTTGAGTAGGCCAAGAGGAGCTCCAATTACTATAATAATGGCTCATTGTTCATAATAGACAAGAAACGCCCTCTCTCTCTAAGACTGTCCTCTCCCTCTCTCTTTGTAGTATGATTGCTGGTTTTTATCATAGAATTTGGTGGTGGTTTTATTTATATAGAAGTTATGCCTAAGGATTGTTGGTTTGCATATTACATGTGCAAATCACCATTTGGTTATATATCTTTATCTTGGATGGTTTGATTGGTTTTTTGCATTTTACATGTGCAAATCACCATTTGGTTATAATATCTTTATCTTGGATGGTTTGATTGGTTTTATTGGTATTCACATCGATACCTAAAAAGTTTAGAGATGAAAATCATTGGTTTGCATTTTACAAGTGAAAATCACTATTGATTATAATATTTCTATCTTGAATGTTTTGATTAGCTTTAGTGGAATTTACATAAATAGAGAGAATACTGTATGAAAATCTTGTTCAAGTAAAAAGCATAAGATGGTCAATCTCTACCATTCACCATTTTAAAAATGGGAAGCCTTGGTCAATATGTACAAAGGTTTCCTTGAGCTTGGTGGAGCTTTGGACAGGATGATGAACGGTGGACTTTGGTCATTACTTTCAAAATGTTTCTCTTGAACTAAATTCAAACTTTTCATCCAATCAATCTCCACCTCACTCTCTCTCTCTCACACACACACAGAATTCAAACTTTTCACCCAATCTCTCTCTCCTCTCTCTCTCCTTCCCCCCCCCCCCCCCCCAAAACCCCAAGTTATATATATGCCAAATGTCAGTTTTCTCTTTGACAAAATTTAGACTTTCCACCAAATCCCTCTCTCAATTCATAGTTCACCCAATCTCTCTCTTTCTCTCTCCTCTCTCTCTCTTCCCCCAAAACCTAGTTCTATATATGCCAAATGTCTGTTCTCTGTTGAACAAAATTTAGACTTTCCACCCAATCACACGCTCTCAATTCATAGTTCATACTTTTCACCCTTTGTCTATCTGTTGCACACATTTCAAACTCTTCACCCAATCTCCCTCTTTCTCTCTCTCTAAATTCGAACTTTCCACCCAATCTCTCTTTCTTCCAAAATTCCAACTTTTCTAGTAATCTCTTCCTTCTCTCTCTCTGGACTTGATATATCTTGGTCACAAATGTTTAGTTTAACCCAAGATAGTTATGAAGGTTCTCCTCTCTCTCTCTCTTAGTTGTAAGCCACCCTACACCACCTCTTCTGATGAAGTTTATACCAAATTTTAACATAAAGAATTAGTTTTTCAATCTACCAAGTTAATTCTTGAAACTTTTGTTTATCCAAGAAAAAATGTCCAATGTTTTGTGTATCTCGTGATCATGGATTGATTCCTATCATTTCTATTTATCTACCAAGTTAATTCTTGAAACTTTTGTTTATCCAAGAAAAAATGTCCAATGTGTATTTCATGATCATGGATTGATTCCTATCATTTCTATTTTAGAGCTATGGACTTTATTTTAATCAAATGTAATAAAATATCTATTAATTTCCAAGTTCAATATTTTTTTCATAATCATCACGCCTGCTGAGAAACATGAATCATCTTCACTTAAACACTAAAACAAGATGAAATGAATAGAGATGCGTTAAGAAGAGGGAAATGCCAACAAGAAAGAAGAGTGAGAGTAGAGAGAGAGAGGAAGTAAGGAGTACCTGATGACACTGGGGACGTTCTGGCTAACATTGAAGTTGGGTTCCGACTGCAGCCATTCCCTGAGACTCGAGACTCGGTAATCACCTGATTCCTGTATGAGATCGGGCGGTTCACTGCAGTCCACCATTGGGGTCTATTCATATTGGAGTGATCCCTGGTTAGGGACATCTGGAGCCCGGGAACCCCCAGTTCCCACTGACTAGGCCGATTCTATGTAACACAACGATTTTTGTGAAGGGGACCGCTCTTTATACTCGAGTTTACAGTGCACTCTCAATTTTTTTGGTTTTTTCCAAACTAAATTACTTCTTCACATGAACTCGCTTTAAAATTTGAACCTAGAGGAACTTGTTCTGTATGAGGTTCTACTTTGAAGTTGAACCCAATTTGTCCACAAGAGAGAGAGACGCTTCAATGGCAACAAAGGAACACTATTCAGTTATTGGTGCGCCTTTATATTCAGTTATAGTTGGCCGTTGTGTAAAATATTCAAGAAACCCTAGTATTGTCCAACCGTTATTTCTAGTGTACCCTAGAACTGAACCCTTTTCATCGATCCAATATTTTTCCATTTGACCTAAAACTGAGAGAGAGAGAGAGAGAGCGAGAGAGAGAGAGAGAGAGAGAGAGAGAGAGAGAGAGAGAGAATTCTTACGTACGTAAGTGACGACGTACTACTACAACACACTACTACTAAACGTAACACAAC